TGTGTGTGTGTGTGTGTGTGTGTGTGTGTGTGTGTGTGTGTGTGTGTGTGTCTTATAATGTATGACAACTTGATTTCTCCCCAAACGCCCACAGGCGAGCTCTTACCTCAGAATATTGTGTTATCGTGGACTTTGGCACAGATGTCCGTGGTTCGAATCCCAGACTGGGCGTTCTTGAACGTGATCATTTTGTAGAGTTTTTAAGACTCTCAACCCACTTGGCTCTGCCTTATCGGAGATAAACGGTAAATTCGAACCTCCCCTATCTTAATAATCGAGTGGTGTTGATATAGGGCGTTAAACCCATACTCTCGTACTCTAAGGCTCTCAACCACTTTGGATTAGTTCTATTAGACATGGGCATTTAATTCGTACACCCCACCTCTTAAATAGAGCATTAGTGTTGATAGGGGCGTTAAATCCATACACTTAAGTTTAGATGACCAGCGTCTGTGGTGCAGAGGTTAGGCACTTCGCTGCCACAAACAGAAGACCCGAGTTCAATTCCCGAGAGAAGAGCAATTTGTTCCGAGAATCTCTGTCTTTCTGCTGGAATGTTGTATCCCTAGCAGCCCCGATGGGCCCTGAAAGGCAAGGCTGGATGCCTGCCACATAAATGATAATAATGATTAAGAATAGTTGAATTTATGTTACGGATATTCCTGCTCTACGGCATGCTCTGTGCGCTTTACAACCATTATTACTCTAGCAGACCCTTGAACTCTCAGAAACATTCTCGGCTTCCCAGGAAGTATACAGTGGAAGCTGCGGATTTCACGCGCTCACACTAACAAACTGACAAGATCTTTTGCTTGTATAGCTGAGTGCCTATTCCCACCTGGGTGGGGTGAGGAAAATTCGTTTACAGTGTCTTTCCCAAGGACACAACGTCGGGTCCAGGCCACCCACACCTCAGTTAAAGATCTAAATTGTATCTACAGCAGTCCTCCTCACCTCCTTTGCCCCCTCCTTTTGGCGCCTGATTCTTTCTGCAGCCTTTGTACTGCTACTACCAGGCTCCTTCTTGCTGCTGTTTCTAAGTCACACCTCTGATCTTATGGTAGGAAAGATCTACATCTAACCTTCTTGGACAAGGGCGAAAAATCTCGTAGGTCCAGTGTGCAATGGTTGTCCAAAATCGATCAGAGTAGGCTTCGGCTGCCACCCGGGTAAAGTTCAAAATTTTCCTACTAACTGAAAATGTTTGATGTGTTCCTCGCACTCATATGACCATTTAAAACACCAGATTGTTATCCCCCAAAAGTCTATGGCTTCGTAACAATCCCCATCCATCAGTAACTCCCCCCCCCCAAATTTTCAGACTCTGATAGGCCCATGGAGTGGCCGGCTCTTGCTCTCTTCCTGTGGTCTGTGCTCATGGGATACACAGATATGTCCAAGGTCTTCTGGAGAGAGGGGATGGTAAGATCATTTTTTTTTTTTTGCTTATTTGTTGTTACTTTTTTTTTGCTGTTTCGTTGTTTTTGCTGTTGTTTTTTGTTGTTGTTGTTGTTGTTGTTGTTGTTGTTGTTTGTGATAGCCTATTCGTTCGAAATTTTTGGAGCCCCAAAGAGTGCTCTTCACCAGGGCCACTGCCTCTATTGGGTAGGGGTGTGAGGCAGTCCAACCTCCCTGAATCCTCCCCAAAGAGATGCCATCGCCGGACCTCCATGGTGGGGCATTTCTGCAGCCAGTGCTCCAAATTTTGGGGCTCCTCGCTGAACAATGGACAGATTGGGTCCAATGTTTTGGCTATTCTATTTTTTTTGGTAGGCCCGCAGCCCAGAGAAGTGAACGGTCCTGATTTTTGCCAGTAGTGCAGTTGTTGTTGTTGTTGTTGTTGTTGTTGTTGTTGTTGTTGTTGTAGGTGTTTTACGGCGCTCGCAACTGCAAAGGGTCATATTCTGAGTATGCGGGATGGTAAGAACTACTTTTTCTTTTCTCTTTTTTCTGAAAGTGTTTAACGGGGCTCACTACTGCTTGGTGTCAAAGAGTAGAGCGCAGGGGACGATTTTCCGTTGCTGGCAGGTTTCAAACTGGGACCTGGGGGCTCTCGTGGCCTAGAGGTTAAGATGTTGGCCTCTCATTCAAAGGTCCTGAGTTCGAATTTGGGTAGCGACCGTAAAATTTTCTTCCCTGTAATTGTCTCCTTTCTCCCCCTTTCCTGCTCTCTAACAACGTTCTGTCGTCTGATTTCATCTCCTCTTTCTGCCCCCACCCCCTCACCTCCTTTGCCCCCTCCTCTGGGCTCCTGGCTCTTTATGCGGCCTTTCTACTGCTACTCCTTGGCTCCTTCTTACTGTTGTCTTTCAGACTCGCCCCCTGATCTTCTGGTAGGAAAGATCAACACCTAGCCTTCTCGGACAAGGGGATCTTCTGGTAGGAAAGATCAACACCTAGCCTTCTCGGACAAGGGCTAAAAATCTCAGAGGGCACGTGTGCAAGTTGCGCTCGTTAAAGATCCCTTGGTGGTAAAAAAATCGATAAGAGTAGGCTTCGACCGGCACCCGGGCAAAATTTAAAATGTCTTTCCAAGTGAAAAATTTCGTTGTGTCCTGCGCGCTCATGTGACCTCATGCAGTTGTGAGCGCAGTAAAACACTTATAGAAAGCAGACGACATAACATTTATAGAAAAGAGGTGAAAGGAAACTATTTTAAAAGAAAAATGTCCGTCGCTGTCCGGTAAAAAACCTGGGACCTATTGAATGAGAGACGGGCGCTGCACCTCTACTGCCGTACGCTGACAAAACGCCTTTTTTCTAATTCACTGCAGCTTTGAGAAAGGCACCATTTTTTCGTTTTTCTTATAATATTTCAACTATTTTGCCAAGTGGATGAACGGTTGATCTCGTACCCTGAAGAGAATGCCATTCACTGCGCTCGACCGATATTGAAAGAAAACCGAAATTCGCTGAGTTCTCGAAACAACTGTGGATAAGAAAACGGCGTTATGTCAGAATACGGCAGTCTAGACCACGAGAGCCCTTCCCCCGTCTATTTGTTTTTGGTTACCTGAAATTGACTAAGGGTTGTAAGTCAGTGTACCTGGATTTAATTTGGAATTACAGGTTTTTGCTTATTGTTTTGGGGATTTTTTTTTCATTTAGAATTTGAATTTTGATATCACAGATTTAGAACTTTCCACACTGTGGCAGTCTCTGTGGTCCATTTGATCTATATATGTGTCCAAAGAATCTACGTCTTTTTATTTGGTGATTTTAGTTATAGATCATTCCCAGCCTGCCATTCGGAGCACTTCTCTATTTCGCAACCCTAGAATTACTAGAAGTTCTATCTGCTCAGTACCTAGTTTTGAGAAATTTGACGTGAAAAGTTCAGTTTCACAACATGTCAAGCTTTTATGAATGCAATTCTTTGAATATTTAGATAACGTCTCCAAAGAGTCTTACGATTTTGATAGAACATAATAATATAATATAGAACATTTGGCCCCTTAGTAACTAAAAGCGTACAAAAATGTCAGATAGAACTTTGTAATTTTCTATGAGATGGCAATTTATTTTTCTCTGTGTCTATGTCTGGCCAAAGGAGCAGGTGGCGACTGCTCTTTTTGCTCAGGCGGCTTTCAACAAAATGCAGAAGCGCACAAAAGATATCGAGTTATGCAGACAGCTCCAGAGAGGGGCAGAGTGAGTTGCAACGCACATACATATACATGTAATATGCGCACGCACGCACGCACGCACACACACACACACACACACACACACACGCGC